CGGACAAGCAGCCTCACAACCCCAAAGAGCCGTTAAGGGCTGCCATTGTGGACACTGTGGCCAACGCCAACGAGGACCACTTGATTGGGGCACGCAGCCATTTTTGAAGCCGCATCGAGTCTGTCACTGCCGCTGAAGGTGGTTTTATCAAATGAAGATCGAGATCACGGATAGAAAGCAGGATCTGCAGCTAATTCCGTGCTAATATAATCATATTTTTTTAAACATCTCTTTTTTTTTAATGTTATGTTTTCGAGCACACCTCTTAGGCGCCCGTTTCCGGCTTGAGCGGCATCGCTGTCGCCGTTGGCGTAACCACACGGTGCATTATGGGAAATGTCCCATAATGCACCGTGCGAAACCCCCCCCCCCCCCCCCCCCCCGAGGTCACGTAACTCCCCCCCCCCCCCCCCCTCCCGAGGTCACATAACCCCCCCCCCCCCCCCCGGAGGAGATTCAAGAATGAGGGGAGGAGGAGGAGGGAGGAGGGGTATACCCTCCCCTCAGTACCCTTCCATCCTCCTCCTCCTCAAGAGCTGCACTCTAATTCGCCATTACAGGCAGTTGTAAACGGCTTTCACCTTTTTAAATACCTTTGCAACCTGCATGGGTGTCCCAAAAAAAGTTTTGTGTTTTCTTTTCTTCAAAAATGAAGCATGCATCACCCAACGCTTAGCATTCCGAACCAGATGCCAAAGTTTCAGAGATAGGGGAGGAGGAGGATAAGGAGTTAAAGTTAAAGAGTTAAAAAGTTGTAAACGATTTTTGGAAATTTTCAATAGGAAAATGGCAGCCGACAAACCCAGTGGAGTACATGGAGCCGAATGGTGCCAGTTACTGAAAACAAGCGAAAACGGGCGCCATTTTCCCATTGAAATTTTGGAAAATCGCCCGTAACTTTTGACCGAGATAACGGTTACTTAGGAAATTTTGGCATCTGGTTGAGACCAATAGCGCTACATCTGGGCAAAAAACGAGTTTATTTTTGCGGCAAAAAAATCAACGTGAATTTTTTGGGGGGACATACCGAATATTAGCGTAGCAAGTATAATGGCGCTAACCCAATTTGCTCCGCCAACGCGGGGGAAAGGGGCGTCAAACGGCTGAGCAAGCAGTCGCCGGTCAGATTCCCGTCAGGGGGGACACGGTCTTTTGTAAAGGCAACTGGCCAATTCAGATTTTCGTTAAGACTTTTCGAGTGTTCTAGGCTTAGAAATCAACCCTGAAACACATTCTTCATTAAAACTGGGGAAAAACCAACGACCCTCACTCTCTTGGCTCGCAACGGGGACAAGCGGTAACGCGATCCGGCCTTGATAACGTGCCGCCAGCGTTTGTCACGGCCAGGTCGTGATAAACGCCGGGTCGACAATGCACAAGTCACGTGCTGCATTCCGGATATTGCTGAAGTTTGATTATTTTTGCCCCGTTGATTTCACGAGCCACCGCACGAATATCCACCAACGCATAGATTGTGACCGAGTGTTGTCGAGTGCTCGTGTCTAATGCACGAGCTCTGCTCGACGCTTGTTTAGATGGAACGATTCTGTGATTGGGTTAACGGCGCAATTCCTGTGACAGTGTCAAAAAGTTTTGAGGAGACTGGTAGAAATGGTCGTCTTCCGTCCTCAAAGTTACACCGTGACAAGGACCTGCAAGTTCCGTGGTGTCGAGTGCAGATAGGAGGGTAGTTTAGAAAGTACTAAGTTTTGTTTTGAAGTAGTAAACTTGTGCATCGTTCTTCGTTAAATGCTTTGTTTTCTATTAATTTCGTTTGCATTAAGAAGTCTATCTTTTGATGCAATCCCCTTCTATGTCGATTAAGACATTTACCATATTGGAGTGTTTTAGTAGATCGTTCAGTCACTCCTGCTACACTACCCGCAATTCGTTACAAACTCTGCTATGTGTAGCGTAGTGGAACCGTCTTTTTAAGTTTTAGTGGAACATTTGCAACCCCCTACGAATTACAGCGTCATGAGAGCTAATGCAATGCCACTAGCCGCTCTTTTAGACACTAAGGCTCGCGTAAAACAAAGGTTTGCAAAGCAATTCTTTGCAATCTTCTTATTAACGTAGCTATCTTAATGGAATATCCTTTCTTTATCAAATAAAGTGTTAATTTTTGCTTCATCTTAAAGTAAATATTTATTGCGTTTGTAATTGGATACGACTGACGGCCAAGCTGTCCAAGCCAATCCGATACAAGTTAGGCGCCAAAGCCATTGAGAGAAATCCTCAGAAATAAATGACAACAACCTTAGCTCTTCCACTGTGTCGTTGAAATCGGTAATTTCTTCCTCTTACTGTTCACCGAAAATTAAACGACGCGGAAATCCTTCAGATCCGCCTGTTCGCTCGCTTCCTCGGTCGGTTCTGTCCTCGCGACAACAGCGGCCGTTGAGCAGGAGGCCGCACCCTTTGCTCACAACACCACGGATTGTGAAGCTCTTTTTTTATCTTGGGCCATATTTAGCACGTCCGCCACAAATCGCTACCTGTTGCAGTCCTGGAATGGCTTTGTCGCGGCTACTTCTCGCAGCAGCGATATGTAATCTGTCTCTCAGAACTGCGATCGTGAAGCAGACTGATCAGGCACAGAGTGGTGGCCATCTTGAATTGCGTTCTCCACTACCATCGCACATCCGTAGTGGCGGCGGCGCTCTAGCATAGCGGGGGTGCCAAAACGATCTACTTAAATTGTCTACTTATTCAAATCTAGGCTGGCGTCGATTCTATGCCAACCCCAAGAAACCGAAAGGTTAAGAAGAAAAAGAAAGAATATCCTCAATCGTAAACCGATCAGAAGGAGCTAGAAAAGAATGCGAAATTAAGATAGAACAATATTGATTCTGCTGCGAAAAACTCGCGAAAACGTCCAAACCGTCGTCGTCGCTCGACTCTTTGTCCCCGAAGTCTTCGACAAACCGACACCCAAATTGCTTCACAAAACTCTGGACCCAGCCCCTGCTTGCTTTGAATTCCGTTTGAGGAACGCCTCGTGCTTTCGCAACTTCCTTCGGTTTTGCTCGGACGATTTTCACGGTCGCGGGAAGTGCCGCTGCCCTCCGAGTTCCGATCGAAGCTTGTGACTTCAGTTTTCATTTCGGGACATCGACCTCTTCGCGGTCCCGAGAATGCCCACCGAACGGCCTTCCCGTTCTTTCCACGCAAATAGTCGAGATGCGTCAACGGCTTGTCGGCTTCGGGTAGTTCCGGGGCGCGGCCGCAGGACTGTCCCGGAAGTTCTGTGGAATTGGAAGCGTATCCTTGTTTCTAAGCCGACCCCCAAGATTCAGTTTCCCCTTTCTCGTAGAAGCTGTCGGCCTAGATTTGAATAGATACAGTGCATGGCTGGATGGCTGGCCCCTAACAGTTTACGGTCCTCGCTCTGGTGACAAAAAACGCCGTGTTTCCACTAAAAAACTTAAATTCCCCCAGAAAAAAAAAAAAGAAAAGTTATTTAACGCAGTGTGTTGCGATGCTCATACAAGTAATTTGTTAATGTGTCTCAATTCCGGGGTCAATGTCTCAAAAGAAATTTCGAGTCAAAATGTGTCTCGTAGCATAGATATTGCAACGAAAGACTTCCTTTCAGGGAAATCTTACATTGCAATATACATACCCCATCCAGGTACATGGAATGTTTTTTTTGAAGGGGCGCTTGAGCGGGATCTGAGACAGTCCGTTTAAAGTGATAGCCCAATCTGTGGGCTATTAGCATCTTAAAAAACTCGTAATTACACTCATGGGTGGCAGATTTCCCTAATAAAAAAATCCAATCAAAGATTGTGAACTGCCCCCCTTCCTGCACCCCGAGGAGCTGACACCAGGGGGCACTGTCGGGTGGCGTTTGCGAACAGTAATTGCTGTATTACGTCTCCTACACCCAAAGATTTTAGGTTTTTGTCAAGATGTAATGGACGACACGCCTGGTAAAATTTTTGGAGGTGGTGGGGACCCGGGGATGCCCCCGCCAGAGGGGAAACAGTGCCTGTGTTGCTTCGAGTTTACTAGGACGTCTTGCCATCTAGAACTGGTCTTCATTAAAGGAGCGGTGCAATGATATTCAGTTGGAATGTTTTTCACTTGACACGAGCTTACCTGGGACTCAAGGACACTCGCGCGCAACGCCACTGGCCAAGAAAGTCCTTTGTTGCGGTGTAATTTCAGGAACAAAAGCGATCATTTTCATTCAATCTCTCCTTTGCAAAATTTGATGACGTAACGTGGGGATTGCAGTACACCCAAGTGACGATATTTGAATGCGGTTCGTAGATTGGACCCGAGCATGGCATGGGCACTCGACTTGGGGTCGTGATAATTGCTAGCTCGAGAAGCATTCGGGTAGTGACCCGTGTCCAATCGCTGCAACGACGACAACAGCCGAGCCATAACAATGTCTGGAACTCAGCGCGTGTCCTGCGCTTTGCCAACCCCAGCGCGTGGCTATGATCAACACTGGCGGCATATAATCGGCTCCAGATCACGTGGCCGCTTGTTCTGGCTGCGAGTTGAGGGAGTGAACGCTGCTCGTTTTTCTTTAATTTTTTTTCTGGGACTTCTATAGCATGGGGTGAAAAACGAACGCGTTTCATAGGTCATTAACGTTAGGGATCCGTTTTAAGCGGTATTTGCGCAGAGTACAAACATTGTTGCATCGCTCCTTTAAAGCCCATCGAACAATATGCCATCAAAAACGAGCTTCTGCAAAAAGCACTCTGGTGCCTCTTTGAGAGTTCAGTGCCCTTGGGAGTGATTCCGAAATGTGCTTCTATTTCGGGGTCCTATTCTCAAAATCTAAGAATGTTTTGGAATTGCACCTAACTCAGAATGTGTCTTGCAACATAATGTTGTACTAAACAGTTGTTGTTTGTTTGTTTTGCAGAGGGGGGAGTTTATTTTGTAACATGCTTGCACCCTGTCCTTGCTCTTAGAAAGGAAGCTTCCTTCTGGTTTTTGACGTCCCTCTAACGTGCGGTTGCATCGCAATGCCGCAGGGGAGTACCCCGTGATGTGTCCCGGCGCCTACTTCTCGTGGGTGAGCTGCACCAGTCTGAGCACCACCTACGGCAACATGAAGGGCCACTTCATCATGCGCAACCTCGAAACCGGTACGGGTATGGCATGTCCGCCTCCATGTTCCTCCCTGTGGATTAAGACCCATTCACACCTACTGCGGTGCACTAATCCAGCGCTGACTTACCGTAAAATACCGGGCAAGCGCCCACTCAAACTTTGGAGATAATCGCAAAAAAAAATGGGGGTTGGGCCCTTCTCCGGTCATCAATTTTACATATAAATGCACTGTGTGTATTTTCTCACATCCTACAAATTTGGGAATGGGCGGCTAGTGTGGTATGGGCAGATGCATGGTATTCTACGGTACCACCGCACTGACCTTAGTCACGGTGTAAGGTATCCAGAGCGTTTCTGCGAAAGCTTTCATAAATCTCTAAAAATACGCTGTTTAGATTGCTGTTTGAGTGGGGGATGCCACGTATTGCAGACATAGAAATTAGCAGGATAATTAACCAAAATTTACTAGTTTATTTTAATAGGGATGGGCTAATATTCGGTTATTGCAAATAGCCAATCGAATTCTGTTCTATTCGGCATTTGCTTCGAATCGACTTAAAGTATTCGACATGGAATTATTCGACAATACAGAATTATTTTACCTTTCTAAATACAGTCAAACCCGACTATGTCGAACCCGTTTACATCGAATTATTCCTTATATCGAACAATTTCAGTGCACAGTAATGTTACAGCGATAATATATAGCAAAAACTATGGTTGCATCGAACAAAAATAGCAACCGCAACCGATAAATCGAACTGCCAAGAGCGCCGTTTTGCTCTGCAAGCTGGCTTTCCCCCAACGCGAGCGGCAACATTGGGGAAAAGCCAGCAAAGCATTCTGGCTTTTTTTCTTTTTTTTTCCGGGCGGTTGCGTTGATTGTTTGGAAAAAAAGGAAAAAAATATCTTTTGCGGTGGGAGCGGAGACAGGGTGCTCCGTGCTCCCCCTCCCCACTCCGTCCGTAAAAGAGAATATTATTTTTGTCTTCCAAGCAAGTTCACGCAACCACCCTCCCCCCCCCCCCCCCCCGAAAAAAAAGCTAGTTGCTTTTTTAGCTGGCTTCCCCTAACGCAGCCTCCTCTTTTAGGGGAAAGCCAACTTGCAGAGCAAAACGGTGCTTTGCAGGAGAAGGTGCTCCTGCTTGGACGTGTTCCGTGCTCTCGGCATAGTTCGGTGCTAATGCGCAAATATAGAAGGCAGAGGCCTCAGCATTTTGGAGTCCGTCGATAGCGAAGAAAAATATTGTTATCGTGGATGCAATGAAGAAAAAGCAGCGGAAGATGCGAGACGACTTCATTGTGTATTATTTCAGCAGAAAGTGCATTTTTGAGAGTCGAATTCATGAAAACTTTTATATGGAATTACCCGCTATATCCGCTGGTAGACGTTTTTTTGCGAATTCGATATAAATGGGTTTGACTTACTCTGGCTTGGATTTCCGCCCAGGTGGTGCAAGCTTCCGACCATTTCGCGCTCCCGAACTTAATACACTTGAAATTAACAGTTACAGTACTTCTACTACCAAATAAGGACAAATATAAAACTATAGTTTAAACATATCTTGTGGTATTTGTTGCTTGTACTATTCAAACTATTTGATTCGAAATTATTCGGTCAAAATCACTATTCGCTTTGAATTCGATTCGGACCCAAAATCCTCTATTTGCCCATGCCTAAATTTTAATTAGGGGAAATAAGTGTACGGTTCTGCTGGGAAACTTCCTAAGGACCAGTGAAAACCACTAACTCAACTCTTTTTAGAAAGATATATAAAACGGGAGCATTTTACGGCGTTTCGAAAAAAATTACGGGCTGGCGCTTAAGCTTTGCCTTTAGGAGCAGAACGCTATAGCTGAACATAAACCCTTGCTTGTTCCCAAGCCGTTCAAGCATGTCTGCACGGCCTACCTAGTTGGTAGTGTGTCTGGCTCACAACCAAAGAGTCGTGGGTTTCATCCTGCTCCGCCGAAAATTCTTCGACTTTTTTCGTTTAAGCCAAATGAATTACTTATCGGCCAATCGGGATTTTCAGGTCCCGCGGCTTTTTTGCAGCACAAGCTCCTTAAAGCTATCGCTTTAAAAATCACGGTTTGGAAGCGTTTCTAGTTTTTGATTTCTTATCGGGGTGCATCTTTGCGCTCCTATAGGGACATAACAGCTGCAAAGCTTGACGGACACCTTAACTACAATGCGGATCAAGGTACAAATGTCTCTGAGATCTTAGTTAGTTAGACTGGGCAGCAGATGACCCTCGCAGCTGTTTTGCGTGCCAAAGGAGAAATCAACGTGGGATTACGTTGGCAGTCGTAATGTTTTGGTCAATGATTGTATATATTACACCGTGATGTTAGCTTCGATACTGCACTCGGTGTGCTCCGTTTCACTTCAAAGAGGCACTAAAGTGGTTTCTAAATTGTCTGGTTATGGTCATAACTCAATCTACAAGTCTGAGCATTCTGAAAAACCCAAGATTATAATGATATGCGTCCAATTTTCCCATATAAAAACAGGATCGAAGTTTGCGACAGCCAATTGTGAGCAATTGCTACCCGCGCACCAATCGCATACGTTCGAAAATCAGTCCACCGTTAGTTAAGTACCTTGCCGCGCAGGAAGGATCGCTTTCCGCGCCGTTACGAGGGAGGTCAAGATGTGCCTTGTTGCGGTCAGTATGAAAGCAAATTCTGCATAACGTGCCACTTTGTACTGTCGGCACTGCTCGTGAAATACTCAACGTTCTATCTACTTTCCTCGTCGACCCATTCAAGGAACATTTTACAACAACCACCACTGGTTGCAGAAGTCAATTTCAGCGTAGGAGTACCGACATACACGCATAGCTTGGAATTATACGCACATTTTCTCCGTGAGTGAATGACACAAACTTTGCCTCTGCTTCTAACGAGGCGTCGTTTCTCAGAACGTCCAATCTTGAGTCTTGCCGCAGTCAAGCATCAATTTACTTACCACTACGAACAACCGAAGTAACGACCTAATTTTTAAGAATATTGACATGCAGTGTAAGTGCATCTCAAGCCCAGCGCTAGTCAGTACAAGCACTAGCATTCGGTCTCCGCTCCAGCCACGCACGCCCCAAGGCAGTGGCACATTTCGGATTCCGACGTCATAGCTGCCCAATCAGAACATACATTTTTGTGCGCACAAGCTTATTTCTTCACATTGTTCTTCTCGCTTACTTGCAGGTTATCAAACTCAGCCGGAACAAAAAAAGAAATGCTATTCTTTGGGGAAACGGAATTGAACCAAAATGTTATCATTTTTTATTGTTTCGGAGCAAAACTGTCAAATAATCTGAGTATTTTTTTGGTTAAGGAGGAAAAAATAGGGCTTATGGAATGTACATTACGAAAAGCAGTACAACCTATTGTATTTTTCTGAGTACAGTCTGCAAAAGCAAAGTTTTTGTTCAGGTAGTTCCGCATTTCGTACATTGTCTGCATGTAAGAATGGTGGAACATAGCATAATTTGACAAATGTCTGCTTTATTAGCTCACAAAAAAGCTTGCATCATACACAGATAATTATAACATGCTCCATCATTCAAAAGAAAAAGTCACGTCTTGTCATAACGTAGGATTTTTGAAAAAAAAAATCCTTGTATAGTCAGCATCTGTAGATAGTCTGCGCTGCATAAAATTCCAACTTTTAAACATCTATAGTCCACAGACAATACTTGCCTAAAAAATGTGGCATATATTTTTAAGCTATATGTTTACAGGCAGCGTTTCAGGTTCCAGGTTACCTGTTTTCGGGTAACGTCTTTGGATCTCAGTTGAGTGACAGAGAAACCTAAAAGCCCTTGAGGGCTATTACACACACTTAAAGGGCTACTCCACCGATTTTTTCATTGTCTCCGATTTGCTTGAAATTTTGCTAAACTAACCAACAAACATCGCGAAAATAGTATCCCAAATATTAGGTCAAAATATTGTTTTTTCGCGAAGTTATTGAATTTACAGTTTTGGTCCTCACCGTGTTTTTCAAGCTCAAAGTCTCTACTGGCAACAATGAAAAAGTGACGTCAGTGGAAGGCAGGGGTTCACTCTTTGGGCTGTAGATTTTGTTTTAAACTGATTCGAAGCAGTTTCGTGGTGTCAAATGAATGCTTGGGAAGCTCGCTGCAGTACCCGCGCTCCAGCACGGAACAAATGATTGGCATATTCTATTTTTTGGCTGCTTGCTCGACTGGCAAGCCTGCCTGCCACTGACGTCATGGCCCTGAAAAGCGCGCGTATATTTGAATGTTGGTTTTTGCATCATTTTCATTTGCCGATTTCGCAATAACTATTATGAATTTCGCGATTCTAAATAGCATACCGGAGAGAGTAAAGGCCGGGGAGTCAGAAAATATAGTTAGTTGAGGTAGCTCAAAAAATCGGTGGAGTACCCCTTTAAGCGCGTGAAACCTTCCTCCATTCGTGACAAGTTAACTTACCTGCTCACACCCCCATCCTGAAGTATGTGACCCGTACACCACCCAAAGCAGGCTCATTGTTTTTGTTCCACTCAATTTACAATGTTTTCAGCTTTGCTTTTCTGTTATTTAACATTTGGATAGAAATGAAGATAGCTTCTCTTTCAGTTCCTTTTACTTTTTCCTTAATGTGCGAATGCGAACCGGTTTGAACCGGTACGAACCACTTTCGTTTTCCTCCGTGGCCTTATTGGACCCGAATCAGTGTCCCTAAATGCGAGCGAATAATGTCTCGGTTGGACGGCCCGGTTACTGGTGGCGTGGATGCGCCCTTTAATGCCATTGGTGCACGATTGTCTCCCTCGCTCGCAGGGGACCTGAGTGAAGTGCACTGCCCGGTGTTCCACATGAAGTGTCTGCCTTACGTCACGTCAGTGGAGAGGGAGGCGCTCAAGAGGGAGAGGGAAGCCCTCAAGAAGGCACAGTGAAGGCACTCTCCCCTCCGCACCCCCCGTATTTATTTCGCCCTCAGGGAGGGAGGCGCAACGGAGGCGGCGACGGCAGCGAAGGATCCACCAGCTCACGTGCCTCACCAGAACAGAACATTTGTGAGCCTGGTGTGTGAAACGACGTGCTCGCCACGAGTTTCGTCCACAAAAAAAAGCGGGCGGTAGCGAAGCTCCGAGCGAGCAAAGATTACAAAGACGCCTCTCTATGGTCCCCTCGTCCCCGAGTCGACAGTGCTGTGGGAGCCGCAACTGGCACGTGGGTACGAGCAAGATTGCGATCGCTTGGCGAAGGATGGACGTACGGCTCGCCGTCCGCTCGGGGGAGAACGAAGTATGAGATAAAGGACTCGCGCAATAGGTCGCATTTTTCTATTCTAGGCAACGGCTTCCGGCAGACTATATCGCCGCAGGTTCCGTCTGGGAAGCGCAGCATTTAAGCGACCCCAAGCCACAGAAACTCTGGACGGTGGTACGGGACTGCTCGAACGGCCATGAAGTGTGAAGTTTTGTGGATCCTAAAGGGAGGGGATTTTTTTACTGGGGTTTTGGCAGAGCCGGTGTGGCGTAGGGTTGGAAAACTCAAAATCTACAGCTTAAAGGCCGTGGGGTCTAGGGTTGGAAAAGTCGAAATCCGGAGCTTAAAGGACGTGTGGTCTAGGGTTGGAAAAGTTGAAATCCGGTGCTTAAAGGCCGTGTGGTCTAGGGTTTTAAAAGTTGAAATCTGAAGCTTAAAGGCTGTGATGTCTAGGGTTGGGAAAGTCAAAATCTAAAGCTTAAAGGCCATGTGGTCTAGGATTAGAAAAGTCGAAATCCAGAGCTTAAAGGCCCGTTCACACATACACCACAGTGCTGGCTCGGCGCTGTAGGTCACCGCCGCAAACGGCATCAACACCACATCGGCAAGATCGGCACTAGAAACGGCACTGATCTTGGTGGCATCGCCGCAACCTTTCACTATATTAGTGATATGGCACCGCATCAATGACGGTCGTGTTCGAGCGTGTATCGGTGCCGTTCTTGGTGCCAATTCGGCGAACCGGGCCGTAGCACTCGACCGGCCGTACGGCGAGGAGCGTTGCTCGCTCTAAAGAAAGCTCTGCCCCGCACAGTAGACCTCGAAAGGCTGCTCGCGACGGAGCTCAAAAGGCCGTAAAGTGATCACCAGCATTCAAAGAAAGCTTATCGCAGACTGCGTGAGCGCGATCAAATCACACGTTCCCCACGTTGCTGTTTGGAAGGGACGGCATTGCAGTTGAGAACCTCGCGCGGGCTTTCTTCGTCTCTGGGGCCCGGCTGTTTCGAGCCACTATGCAAGCTATGCTCAGCGTACCGACACCCCCCGATCGTTTTGCAGGTGTCGCCATTTCGCCGTATGGTGCGGAACAGCTGCAGTCGGCGGCATTCGGAAAACGTGACCTCCCGAGCTTTAAACGCGGCATGGGGAAGCTCGAGCGACGTAAGTTTGCTCTGTTGCGGATCGTTTTTTACACTTTTAGGGGACGGAAAAGGGTTTCCTTCGATTTCCGGCGAAGCTTTGGATAGCTGGCGACGGCGACTGTAAGCGGCGCCCTAGTCGAGATCCCCCTACGCAGAGGGGTTAGCCCTGAATTCGAATGCGGTGGTTGGAGCGTCGCCACTCTGAAGCATCGCGGTGGCTCTAGCTTCGACTTGAACGGCCGAATTCTCGCACGGTATGCGTGAAAACGGTGCAATAGGAACGTTTACGGCGGCAGCAATTCGTTTTGGGCATGCCATTGCGCACGACTGCACTCGGGTTTTTCTGCACGCACGACGGTAACATCGCGGCGACATAGGAGGTCAGTGGGTGCGTCGAGGTTTTCGGCCCGGCTTCTGCCAGAGATTTTTTATGTGGTAGATTGCCCAAGCTTGCACCCAGAATACCGCAAGGTCCGCGTGCCATTGCAACGGTTGTGTGCTTTTTGTGGACGTTGGGAATAAACTATGAGGGGTTCAAATGTTTAGTCGTATCCCGTGGTGCCCACAGAGGTGCTAAACGCAAAAAAAAGAAATATACTTTTTTAGGTATTTGTATAGGACGTGTAGGTTACAAAATGAACTCTCCCCCCAAAAAAATTTATATTGTCACGAATGAACAAATGAAAGAAAGAATAACTGGGGAAACTGAAACGTTTAATGGGGCGAACTTGTGCCCAAAAATAAAACGAAAAAGAAAGATAACAACAGAGCGTCGCGGGCGTCGAAGGCGGCGAAGCAGCAGGATCAAACGCTGAGGCGAAAAACTGAGTCCGGTTCGCCACGCGGCGCCCCTTATGTACATGCGTGAGCTTCTGGAACAATCGGCGTAGAATGTTCGACGCGTAGAACATTCGGACCTTGAATACGCAACATTATTCTCGAATCTACTAGAAAACTAAATTGCAGGAATAACAAAAGATGCGGCGCTCTGTGGGAGGCAGGTGCTCTGTGGGAGGCAGGCGCGATAACCATTAGGCCACGCGCGCGCTGCCTACTTGACCAGCTGCGCACGCTGCAATATTGTAACATTTACGTCGCGAGGCACGTTGTGAGTTATGAGAAATTCAGTCCTATCGAGGCACTTAGGAAAACAAACGTACGCTTCCCGTTTTTGTTTCTTTTCTCTTTTCTCTCCTTCACGGGCTCTCCCTCGAGAGGTTGGTCACATCTTGGTGAACAAACTCTCGGGGGAATTCGATCGCCAAACGTGAGCGTGAGGTGTGTAAACATTGTTTGTGTCCTTTAAGCAGCGAGCATATTAGATCCTTCTTGGGACACTTCTTTCACTCCTTCATTACCCTCAAAGTTTGGGAGGGGAGGATGTTAATAGGATTACCCTCCGCAGCGAAAATCAAGGCTCTGCGTCGGCCTTCGATGCCGCCGTTGCACTCAATTTGTGAGTGCAGTAAGAAATTCATGTGCAGCAGCTTCAGATTGCTTCCATGTGTGCGACATACTGCGCAACACGTTTATTAAGCATCCGGCTTTTTTTATTAATTATGTTTACTGCAGCCCATTTATAGAATATTGTAATATGCATTTACAGTAAGACTTTATACCTTACGCAAGGTTGTTGGCATCTGTGTTGGTTTCTAACAGGTTGTGCAGAAAGCATTTTGCGTGAGAGTTGATTTTCACCCCTAATAGGTTTTAACTACGAAGTGGGAAAGCAGATGTTCTGCCACCTCACTTAATAGTTGTGCCACGCTTGAAACACAAATTGGGGCACAAAACAGTTTTATATTCTAGCATGAACCTTAACATTGAGCAGACAGGGAAATTAATGCGAAGGTGTTCGGTAAGAAATGATGGAAACATGATGTCTTATTACTTCGAGGTGTTGCTAGCCTGACTAAATTAAAACGTGACCGCACATTAGCGTCTGGCAGCAATATCTGTTGTAAAGGTCAGTTTTGCTGACTTACTAAAGTTTCAGGATAACAGCGGGTCATTTGGCATTGAGAAGTTGCAACGAATCACCTTCCACCATTATATACACAAAAAAGTTTAATATTTTTTGTGCAATGTCGCTTGGTGTTGGCTACACGTTAACTGTAAGCCCGCCCATATGCTACAAATGATTGTGTGATCTACCATCACAGGCTCTGCTGCCTCCAATGGCAGGGGTGGCACTAAGCATGCCGCTGGCACTGTAAAAGTAACGAAAAAAACTGCGTCGACCAATTTATTAAACACATAGACGAAGTTGCGTCGTAATATATGACCCGTGGTCTTCCTGGATGATAACGAAGAGTTCCGCATTGCTCTCTCGAGAACAAAAATTGAGCGGAGTTACTTTTTAATATGGGCGGTTGGCATTGCCGCTTTTGCTCTTTGGAAAGACGGCTGCCGGTCTTCAATAACTGGACGATTTACTTGTTTCTTTTTTTTTTGTTTTTATACTTACAACTGAAAAGTGATACTGCTAAATTGTGTGCACCATTTTGAATATTGTTTACCGCGCTCACCGGTATCGACGCAGGCCAAACGTTGTTTCCGTAAGGTTTACCCGTCTCGTGTTTCAAAATTCCCGTCATTTTATTACGATATGCCAGAAATGTGCGACGGTCACGCGAGGACGTTTCCTGCAGAATCTAAGCGTAATAAAGTGTGGATGGGTTCAAATTTTAGCAGACGAGCATTCTGTGTAGGCAGCTATGGCTACCGAGAGCGGCGGCTTTTATATTAACGCCACAAAGGTTACGCCTCAAACGTTCTTTCGCGAATGCTTTGTTTTCAACGCTACGTTGCCCGACGTATCTAAATTTAGAAGGTGCACAACGTTTCTGTTCTAGATCCTTGAGGCCAGTTCGCACGTCTGCATTCGAATGTGGCTGAATGCGCACAGTGGCGCTGTCCTTTAGGTATGCCCGGAACTCTTCCGATTTGCGTACAGGTAGACTGAAGGTACTGAAGTACTTGCTCGATCGAACATATCTACGAGATATTGGCACTTATAGCATTACGAGAATTATTCCGAGCCCACGTTGGGTGCGTAAAAGATTATGTACGCAGATCAGAAGGGTTCCACGGTGCTTGACAGATAACGCCAGCGTTTTTTCTCGTTGCACACCCGCACGGCACTTTTGATCTTGCTCGAGGTCAGTTGGCACGTATGTTGCAACGCTAAACCGGCACCATAAACAGCACTCTGTCACTCATATAGTGCAAATCGGGTGCCAAGGTGGCACCACGTGGTGCACGTGCGAAGGAGCCTTCAGACGCAGATGTGCGAGACAGCCTCTCCACTGGGGCCATTTCGGTTCAGCTCTTTGGGTAAGCTTGTCCAAGTGAGTCTGGCCGGGTATCGAGCGCCCAGTACCTCTAAAACGGCCCAAAACGTTTGGGCGTGAAAAGAAACTCTTCCTATATCGGATTCCTTTCGGCGTCTGCTCGCACCGTCCGACTTTGGGAAGTGTCTAAAGATGGCCCGGTTTTAAGGGGTAAAAGAAAAGGGGACAGGAGGGGGGCGGAGGGGATATTTGGAAACTTTCTCAAGATCTGCCCGTGTCTCCAGAAGTCTGTTTGGATGCCAGGAAATCTGTTGCTTCGTGGGTTTTGCAAATCAAGGTCCAACGTTTTGCTCTGGACCTCGGAAACTTTGGTGGTCACGAGTCAGAACGTAGCAACGACGGCGATGCGCGCGTTTACTCTCTCTTTTTGTTGGAACTTCTACGACTATGGGCCAGGATTGCAACACCCGACGGCACGGCGCACCGGCTCCTGCGACGCGATTTGTTGCCACTTTGGGACCACCTTCGATGCACGGGTGGCGCGAGACTCTAAACACGGCAGTCCAAGACTCGTTACAAGCACCATAGCGACATATTACGAGCCGAAAGGGAACTTGACCGCCTTGCAGGGTTTGTGGAACGTGGCGTATCGGTGGCGAACGTGACCGGTGGCACGCAGCCCCGTTGCACCTGTTCGACGTGTCTTCCTCAAACATTGTAACATACTGCGTAAAATACTGAGTGGGAGTGTGCGTATTAAAGTGGCTTTGCAAGGAAATACGACTTGACTCTCTGTGGCTTTCTTCCCAGACCTGTGTTGTTGTTGTTGTTTTTTTATTACATACTTCGGACCAGTAGATTGGACCAAGCAGGGAGAGCGCGAGGGAAAAAGACAGCTAAGCCCGTACAAGATCACAGAGTAAGTCCACAGTCTGTAACAGATTGTTGAAATATGACAGTCGAAAATTCACAAAAGCGTGCGTAAACGTATGCACTCTGCTTGACCGTGTGCGCAAGCACGTTTATGCATTTTGCCCCCCCCCCCCCCAATCATCTCGACGCGGCTTTCAAAAACTGACCTTTTTCCGTTAAAACCGAACATTAGAAAATGGGTTAAACGTACTACTTTTATCGGTTTAAACCGAAAACGTCGACCCTACAAACTGAACTTTTTCGGCTAAAACCGAATGTCCGAAAATGGATTCGGCATACTTTTATCGGTTTTCATCGGTTTAAACCGAAAACTAGTCCGATCCCTACCTATGGCCAACGTCCTTGGGTACTGCAGTCTCGGGCTTTTTGACTTCGTGTCCAAACTACGTCTGGGCGGGACCTAGGGACCGGACTGGGACAACGCCGTCTGCTGCGAGCGGCGCGGCGCTGACCATTCGCAGACAGCAGACGAACGACCGCGCGCAGCTGCTGAGCGAAGTCGCCACAACGCTTGAAGATGGTAGGGCCCGGAATAAATTTTCGACGGATGGATCCAACTTCTTTAAAGGGCAGCTCCGGTCAATATTTTCGAATTTGGGCTGTTTTCAATCGCGAAAACAGACTGCCGTGACGAGGCCCGTCGCACAAGACCTCTTGGAACAGGTACCAGGTGCACTTTGCTCCCTTCCACGCACTGTGGTCACAGGTTGGTCGTAGTGCTCGCCCTTTGGCAAAAACTTATGAAAATATCGGGAAATGAAAATACTTGCCCAGCTGGTCCAAATTTGCCCATAAAAATGACACCTTTCCTGCTGACACTAACTTCACGTGAAAGTGTTTTTATACGGATTTTATTGATTTGGTTGACGCGGTTTGACCCACCCGTTCTCTTTTCTAGGGTGTGAAAAGAAAATGTACACGGTTTTTTTACCGCAAAAATAAACCAGGCATCACCGAACGCTCATTTTCCGCCCAAAGGTAGCGCGGGGTCACAACCAGATGCCAAAGTTTCAGCCCGATCCGATAACTTAATCAAAAGTTATAAGTGATTTTCTGAAAATTTCAGTGGGCAAATGGCGGCCGACGGAGTTTTCAAACACATGGGGCTCTATCAACGTTGGGGCTCTATGGCATCAGAAACCGAAAACTGGCAAAAATGGGCTCCATTTTCCCACTGAAATTTTCAGAAAATCACTTATAACTTTTGATTAAGTTATCGGATCGGGCTGAAACTTTGGCATCTGGTTGTGACCTCTAGCTCTACCTTTGGGCGGAAAATAAGCGTTCGGCGATGCCTAATTTATTTTTGCGGTAAAAAAGACCGTGTAAATTTTCTTTTGTGACACCCTGTAGATTAACGAGAAAAGAGTCAAAGTACAGGCTAGCTGGTGGAAGTCAACCATTTCGTCGTTTACCCTGAGACTGGGTTTTTTTGATTTTGAAGAGCAGAAGTAACAGAAAAAACAGACAGGGGTACCAGCAAGCAGACGAGTACACAATCCGGTCACGGTGCTGCGGTAGGCTCCTATGACCAAGGTGTAAGATAGACAGGTGGGGAAACGGCCCATAGAAACCTACCGCAGCGCCGTGACCCGATTGTGTACTCGTCTGCTTGCGGGTACCCCCGATTTGCGACAGATGGCGCTGCGGCGAGAAGAAAAAAAAATGGAATCGAATTTGCATGGAACTCTGTGGGAGAGTGCGCAAAATAAAGCGAGAGCACGATAGTCCTGTATTGAAAATCCACGAGAAATCTTCCCCGTCAGTGTAGCCGGTCGCCACCTATCGCCCACCCGGAGTGAGAGTTCGCGGTGCTCCACATAGATGGCGCCACAGAAAAAGAGAAACCCGAGGGGGACACAATCCGGTCGCTCATTTGGCTCTCGTTTCACCACCTGTCTATCTTACACCCTGCCTATGACCGGCCGTTTCCCCACCTGTCTATCTTACAGCCTGGTCTAAACGTAATTTTAACCAGTCTTCGATTTATTGGAGCAGTCGTCTCTCCCTCATCTGGTTTTTACTTTTACGATCAGGAGACAAAAATAACAGTATGCTTCATGCGTAATTCATCACATAGGATCTTCTGTGTGTAATAAATCGCACAAAATGATTCGAACGTAATTAAAACTTTAGATTGTAAGTAACCTATATTTAAATAGAGCCTTTAAATCGACTAATATCGTCTGTCAGGATGGCCGAGCGGTCCAAGGCGCTGCGTTCAGGTCGCAGTCCGGTCTTCCGGGCGTGGGTTCGAATCCCACTTCTGACATATTTTTATAGATTATATTTCATGTTTTCTGTTACCTTCTTTTTTTTTTTCTTTTTTTTTTTTAGATGAGCAACACAAAAGCTTTTTTTTACCCTAACGACATCTTTTCAAAATATAGCTACCAACGCTGATACCTAACGCTTTCACTCACGCCATTTTTGTTTCTCTGATGTCACGCCAAACAGTCGCAACGCCACACACGCTTTTTTTTTCTGGTCCAAAGTCAAGAAGGCCGGAACGGCTGTTCGCTCCTCTCCTTTCGCCTCCTCTTCGCGTAACCGCACGACGTCTCGCCGTACTTCGTTTTCTGTTCTCTTTTTTTTTTTTTTTCGGATGCGATCTTACCGGCAGCTTGCACTACCACCGGCCGCGGCACTACTCTCCCTGATACCTCACAATAGGCTTTTCGAATCGCCGATAACACGCATAGAACTGCCGCCCTCTCATTTCTAACTATTTTTTCTTTTTCCTCCGTTTTTTTTTCTTCCTTTTTTTTTTTTCTTCCCCTCCCTCTCTCCCTGCCCCCCCCCCCCCCCTCCCTCCCCCCGCTCCATTTTGAAGATTTTAGCGTGACGAAGTATATAAACCAATGGCGTCGCACCGATGGTTGGCACGTGATCGTGACGTCGCCTTGCATGCGTGACAGCCTGCGTTGCCCCAGCAACGGCCACGGTGCCCGGCTAGGAGGCTACCAAGCGTTTCTCCGTTGAGCCTCGCGCGAGGCTACATCCGGGCTCTTGACCGTCTGCTGGTTTCGAAACCATTTGAGACAATTGGAATTCTTCGTCTATTCGTCACTCCCGAACTAAAAAACAACATCCGAGCTAAAATATCGGCTGTCTGCAAATGGCTGAGGTTGAAAGACGGCTCGCAAACTTCGAGAAAGGAGTCACGTGGGCTTAAAAAAAAGTCGAGTCCGTGAAGAAGAATCGCCATTTTGGAATGGCTGCCAGTCACGTCTGGTTTGCGTTGTTGGAGTAGCCCCATTTTGTGTTCAAAAACGTTCGCCATAGTGGCACGCCGACTGATTACGACGTCCAAAATATACGATCATGACATCCGTTTGTGTTCGAATGCAATGTGTGTGGATGCTTGCGTCAGTGGATAGAAAGTCGCCATTGGCTCCGCCAACGTTCCGGTGAAGTTGCTTTTTCCTTGTCGCTTATCGATTTTTGCGAATAAATAAGAAAATAAACGTTCTGCTTCACTTTTTTTCCTTTCTTTTTTTCGTTCGTTTGTCGTATGGAGGTTAACTGCACCATTTGATTTTACTGTTTGTCCAAGGTGATGTTTATATTAAAAATACGGCAGCGTCGGTTCATTCGATATTTTTTTTCCCGTTTGTAAAAGACGCGAACAATGGAAACAATAGTGACCTACATTAATTGTTTACGCAACGCAGTGGGATTACACAACGCACATCACACGACAGCACGAGGGTTCCGAGTCCTCTGGCAACAAACATATAAACGACAGCAAGATGCGAATGATAGCAAGATGCTGACTCGCTGATATCAACTCTGTCTCTATCCCGAGCTTCGGCGGTTTCAATGCAATTTTGTTCGGATCGAGAATTTTTTTTTTTTTTTCGCTTACATTATATTAGGCTTTGATTATATCAATGCGCCTCAAACATTTATCGAATCCTTGGCTGCACGTTTAAAAGATGGTAATAAAACGTGTTTATATATATATTTATATATATAATTAATATCGAGACTCTACGGTTGTCCCGTCAGCTCGGAGCATAAACGTCTTTCAAAATAATGTAATTGGCATAGCAAGTACAAGATGGCGCTACCCGTCTTTACCACTTGGAGCTCCTAACTAAACAACGCCGCTTGCAACGTACTACGCTTATTAGCGTGATGTTAACTGCAAACAAAACTTTTTGTGTCCACATAGCAGTTAGCACTGATGACGTAATAAACGAGGAAGGCCCCGACTGTACGACTGTACATTGTATTTCTTGAGGTGTCGCCCACACTTGCTTTCGCTTTTACCTGTGGCGCCAGTGTGGCGCAACCTTGTGGCGCCATCTAGGGGATCTGCCATGAAACAATCGGCGAAAATGGTGGCGAGTTCCCGCGGCGCGCAAGTGCCGCAAATGGCCTGCCCCATCTGCGCGTTCACTTGTATCGGATGATTCCGCGGCGCCAGGGCCATCATTGCAGAGAAGAATAAAAATTACGTAGGAGAAAATCCAAAGTGAAAGTCCAAGTTCGCAAATAAAATGCACTCGTAGGAAACATTTAGAAAAACGTTCCATTTGGGAACATCATTATCAACTCAGATTCAACAAACACAAAGAAAAAATGAACATATCTAAAAAAATTGTGCAATCCGTATAATTAAAACGCGCAGACGCAAAATTTAATTTTAAAAAAGTCTGTGCTGTTCGTGGTCTTCCCTATGACTGCATATGGAATTTCTTATAGAACTAGCAAAACTAAGACACAACATCTTTGCGGTTAGATCTTTCAAGTTCTGTCCTGACCCATTTACGCAAATCTTAACCAATATGAAAAGAAAAAGCAAAAAAAAAAGAAAAGAAAAGAAAACGGTTGCCACGA